GGTTGGGAAGTTCTCTCCCACCCACCATATTCTCCAGATATGGCACCATCAGATTACGATCTATTTTGTTCACTGCAACATCATCTTAATAGGAAAACGTTTGCAACTGTGGAAAGTGGTAGAGGACATCAACATGTTTTTTGCTTCAAAGTCAAATGATTTCTTTAATCAGAGCATTAATAATCTGATTGTGAGATGAAAAAGCATCATTGATAAGAATGGAGACTATTTCATTTAATAAATGTTTTGATATATAAGTTGTACAGGTTTTTTCATCTAAAAAAAAGCAACATTAACTTTTTGATGACCTAATAAATATGCAGTGGTTTCCAATTGGGTATTTAAACTGTCTCTTATTGCTGTTCTTATTGGTTATAAATGAAGAATTCCCCCCAAAATCTCAAAATACTTTTCGTAATTCACTTTTAACACACTTTCTAATACAACAGAAGCAAAAGCAAAAGTACTGTAAGCTATTTATAACAGTTCCAATATTGGACTCGCTGGAGCAGTTACTTTATGCAAGCACTGTATGTTTTATATGGGAAAGAAAAAACACTTCAAATTTTTCTAGCTTTCAAAATGGAAAGATGTAGGTACTTATGATTTGAAAAAATATTAACAATTTGATTATTTTTATTACTACCTATTATTGAAATTTACACACAATCCTACAGTGAAAATTATTACTAAATATTAGCTTTACATGTCATGAAAATTATTACAAAATATTAAATTGACACACAAAATATTCTCATTAGAGATGAAATGATGCCTACCCCAAACCTCTTGTATGGTGGGTGCTTCCTAAAATTAAAATGGTATATTCTAACTCTATTTAAGTTGCAAGCATGAATATGGATGCATAAAAATTGGGTAGGAATTAGAAAAAGGTGATAACTTATTTACACTGTAGCTCAAGTTATGAAAAGTTTTCATTAATACAGTTAAGATGAGCAAATTTTATATATACTATTTTAAGTAAGAACCAGTTAAATGTATTTTTGTTGAAATTATAAAAACTGGCTTATATTTTGCTTATAGCAAGGCGTGATTCTCGCCGAGATAACACCCTTACTGCCCTCACCTCACCAGAGAGATTAGGTCGCTCAAGAGCAAAGGGAGCATCTCAGTCTCAGCGTAAGTACTTTAGTCAGTACTGTATTTGAATCGTAGTTATCGATGGGAAATTGCTGGGGAGATTTAAACTTTAAACTGCAATTATTTATAAATTGTTTAAATAAAAGGAGATTGAAAAACTATTCAGTATTAATGGATAATGTTCTATAGTACTGAGTAGAGACCAAATTAACAAGTTCAAATATTGCAACAACCAATAGTCAAAAATTGTAGTCTGCTGAAAATGTTTAAAAATCTTGTTAAAATTATATTACTGACTGAAACATATAGTGAAAATATTGTCATGGTTATTGTTTTTGAGGAAAACTGACTTACAACAATTTCTTAATTAAACTTGCATAAGAATACAAACATTACTTGAAAACATTTGCAAAGGTTTGCATTGAATTATAGTAAATTAACAACATCATTGATTCTAATATTAGAAATAAGTAACAAAGTACTACATATTTAGTTTTATAAGATTTAATGTAGCTTGACATACTTCATTGACAGTTCTGAAAGATAAGTAGTTGGGAATTAATGTATGCAAAATAAGATACATTTCTTCTTTAACACTGTGTATACATGTTTAGTCAGAAAAAATTCATGTACTCAAAAATATAAAACCCAGTTACTTTCCTTATTTCTATTTAGCTGCTTAAGTAGGTTTAAAAGAACTATTGTATAAAAACATAGTGTTCAAAATAATATCTAAAAAATGTGGAAACTTTACGTAGGAGTCTTCAAACAAAAATTGCACTTGTAGATTTCAGAACACGCGAAGACCATATACGTCAAGTGCTGTAGTAGAACATTACATAAACACCCATGGACTACTGACTACAAATATATCATTTCCACATAAATTCTCAAACACTACCTCTTCCTTAGAACGTAAATACACAGAATCATTTATGTTACAACATCTACACTCAAAAATCAGTTGGGACCATGACTGGGTTTTGCATCTTAAATATAATTACACGTATCAAGAAATTTTCAGAATAAGCACTTAGGCAGATAGACTTAAAGAATAATTGTCTTTTTGCTTTTCATTAATTTCATACAATAAACTTTTTCTTGGAATTGTAACTTAATACTTTTTAGATGTGTGAAACCTAGAGAATAAAACATCACAGTGAAACTGGTAATACTTTTCAACACTATACTCTCAACTAGATGATTTGAGCTGCCAGTTAGAAATGTACATATGTTGCAAAAACATTTTTGTTTTAAACCATTGCTTACTTGGCCAGGATGAACATAATACACCATAAAATCAATAAAAATAAATCGTTTTTTTAGAAAAGAGCATTAATACATATGTGTATGATGATATTGTTATTGTCCGTAAGGAAATCAGTGTTGCCAAAGTAACTTTCCTCAATTTAGAATCTTTAGTAGGTTTTACTGGAATGTTAAAGCAACTCTTTTTATTACTACAAACAGAATGTCTTTTAAAGCTACATATCTACTAAATATTTTGTTAATCTCATTTTATGTAGGATTAAATATTAGTGTATGGTGATGGTAATGTATAAGTTTTGCTTGTGGTTTTCTTTTTTTTTATGTAACAGTTTGTATGATTGTTTTTTCCAGTTTGCCATATAAAAAAAATGGTTACTTTGGATTTAAATTTGAATGCATATAGTAATAAGTAATTACAATATCTTATTATGAGAAACTCACTAGAGGACAATAAAACTTTGGTGGAATTTAACAGAAACACTAAACCTAGAAATACAATTTTCTCAGTGATGATATTTCATTCTGTAAAATTTGCATATTGTTTATTGTATAAATTAAATATAAAAATGGGCATACAACACAAAACATTAGGTTATTGTACAAGACATTCTGTATTGTGAAAACTGTATATTTTGATAAAAGATATTTATATGTTGACTATAATTGAGTGACAATTGTTTTTTAAATATGCAATGATTATTAGCCAAAAGTTAAAACCTGCCTAGTTTCTTTAATAAATAAATTGATTGTCAATTTGTCTTTTCTGAAATCGTCCACACAGTTATGTTACTCCTCAGATGGGTTTAAGGAATTAGTGTTTTGAATTGGTATTAATAAGTTGTAGAGAAATTATTGATAAGTAGAAGCTAGTGAGAAAATGTGCATGAAGGTAAAGAGTATTTAAAGTAATGATAAATAGTTTTAAAAATTATCTTCGTGGTGAATCTTCATGTTGTATTTGTATTTATATGTGAAAACTTGTACAATAAGCAACAAAACTTCTGGAATCAACTTTATAGTCAAATAGTTATATAATCATAACTCTGTTGTGGTGTTATCCAGCAAGTAGCCGTTCTGGGTCTCCTTCTTCGAGGCTCAGTTACAATACTTATCAAGAAGCTGGTTCCTCTGGCCGAGTAAGGAGGAAGTCTGGAATTCCCATGGCAACAGGAACAAGTAGAGAGACAAGTCCGACTAGATCACTTCATGGAGGTACTACTTTAATGCTACTTTCCAGAAGAATGGTGTATTAATTATATTTTAACTGCACTTTTGCTCGTGTCAGCCCTATATCTGCAGTGCATGTAACAATCTTTTTACAGAGTTGAATTCCAAATTTAATTAAACTACTTTATTATCGATGTATGTCAGTAAACTTGGATCAAAATGTAGTTTATAATTCAAATTTTAATATAAGTTTCAATTTCTGAATTTCAAAGAGAAATACATAAATAATTATCAGTCTTCACTTGTTTATATCACATGATACTTCTTCGCTCGGGAAATTGCCCACTTTAGATTTGCTTTCTAATCCTATGTGGTCTTCTGAGTTTAGTACAAATTACACACCTATAGTATAAACATTGCTAAACCATGATATAAACTTATGTAGTCCAATCTTCTGATTTACTGAGATATACGCAAAAAAGTTAAACCCGCTTTTCACATCTCTCTCTATAACATGCTTCCTTTCAAAAAATTTCAATAATTCTCTGTCATTTGTTACTGGATTGTTTATAACTAATAGAAATAGGTAGTTTTAATTTATTGAATTATCTATAACATTAGCTTGTTCCAAAAGTTCTTAATTATTTCATTGTTTGCTATTGCCAATATCACCTCGAGCAGCTAACAGAATTATTTTATCCACTTATGGACTAGTTAGAAACCAATTAAATTATAATGGTTTTAGGACATTGTATTTTTCTGGGGGGGGGGGTAATATTTTGTGCCCTAAGTTGCATATTTGAAAGGGATAAAAATTACTTTATGTACCATCAACAAACCCTACCAAAATATAGTTACATCTTGTTGAGACTTTGAGAACAAAAGCTTTAAAAAGTACAAGAGCTTACACATAATAATGTTTCTTGTGTTTTATTTGTAGTTTTTATTTAGTTTTATAAAAGTAACTAAAATGTAAAAATTAGAAACTGATTAGATTAAATAATAAAATTTAAATAAAAAAATTACTCATGATTTCACATGCACATCACAATAGATGTTTGAAGCATGATTATAATTTAACCATTCATGCTGGTGTAACTTAATACTTTGTTTACACAAAGCTATACTCCATTATGATAAGTTGCTTTTGCTGTACTCTTAAGTGCAAGCTGTAAAACAAAATTTTGAATGACCCCAAAGATTTGAAAAGTATTAGCTTTGGCTGTAAGAATAAATAGTATCTAATTGTCTGTCATAGTATACAGTTATTTTATAAAGGGGTAATTTAAATTTATTTTATATATTTTTACTTTTCAATTTAACCTACATTGATTTCACTACAGTTAGTGTTTGAATAGAGAAAATAAGATAAAATATAGCTTTATTGAAAAACAAACTATTCATTTAGGAAACTAGAGGTTATGCAAATGAAATATGAAAATTCTAAGATGAAAAAAGTATTTTTATTTTTAACATGATAATTACCTTGCACTTGAGCTTACTCACTTAAAGCTTCATAAATTCAGAGACAAGTCTTTTTTTAAAAATACTTTATTGAAAAATCTATTATTTTGGTATACAACAGACTTGTAAGCTTGCTAAATTTCATGAAGATACATTTGTTACATTCAAAGCTATAGTATGTATAGTTTTATGATTATGCAGAGTTACAAGGTTGGTCAAATTTGCCGAGCCTCTTATATGGAGAGCAAATTCTTTCCACATGAAAACCCTTTTCTATGCATGTCATAAAGTTTTACTGAGTTACATTCAAAATTAAACTACTTTATTATCATTGTATTCAAATAACCTTGGCATCAAAATGTAGCTAATAAATCAAAGTTTAATATTATATAAGTTTTAAGTTTATAATTTATAATATTTTATAAATATTAAAAAAATATCAATCTTCTCTAGTATGAGAATTGTGACATTTGATCTATAGATCTTCCTTTTTCTCAAATTTGTTTACCACCTCTCTGAGAAGTATGGAATTTAACATAAATTAATCATTATAATATAGTTATTACTCGGGCAAGGCATAATTTTTATTGCCTTCAATCTTATTTGGTTACGGAGTCATAAACTAGTAAATCAGAACCCCTCTTGCCATGCTCACCTGTTTCATCCTATTTCACAAATTGCTAATATTTGTCTCTGACACTTAATACTATATTTATCACAAGTAGAAAGCTAATGTTTTAATTATTCAAATGACTTATTACTTTACATTGTTTTCTATACAGAGAGTCATCTATTTCACTTTCAGTTCAAACTTTATTCTCACAGAAAACACATCATTGAGTGTAGCTGAATTTTTAAAGGCTTTTGTTGCATAATTAGAAAGGAAGAAAAACTGCGATAGTTATAGGACATTGTCTGTTTTTTTACATGTTATTATTCTATGTTCTTAGGTACATTATTTAATTAAATATAAAATAATTAGTGCTGTAGTACCATTAGTATAAAAAAAGTAGGATTAAGTTTCAATGACAGTTGAGAGCAAAAAGAAAACAGGTATTTTATTTCTTCTTTTTTGATGTGTATTCTTTATTTGTTATTATAAAAGTAGCTAAGTTTAAAAATTAAAAACTTTTTAAGTTAGTTAAAGCAAAATAAATAATAATATTATTAATAAATTTTTTTATGAGTTATGCTCGCGAGTAGTTCATGCATTATGTAATTCGATACCGTAATGTGAGCTGCATGTTCACCATGTGATTTGTAATTTGTACGGTGAGAATAGTAGTTAAACATGGTTCAAAAGGCAATAAAACAATAAAATTTAAGTACAAATAGGTGTATGCTGTTACAAGCTTTAAACTACATAGGATAAACAATTGTAGTTTTCTGTTAGAGTTTGCAGTCATTCTGGAAAGAAAATAGAGTGAATTTAGAATTATTTCCTACTTTTTTTATAGTGGTTATGACATTTGTCAAATCAACTGACATCATATAAAGTTAGGTTAAAGAAAAAAACTAATAAAATATAAAGTTTTTCTGAAGAAAAAAAAACACATGATATTTATTTAGGTAGTTTTAGGGGTTATGCAAATGATGTTTGAAAATTTTCAGATGAAGAGAACTATTTTTTAATCTTATGACAATTACTTTGCACTTATAAAGGGAAACAACATATAGTGTAAATTGTAAATTAATTTTTTCATTGAAAATTAACATGCTTTTTTCCACTTACAGAAGGTAAACATGTAGTGTACGTTGTAAATCAAGTTTTTCATTGATACTGAAGTGCTTTTTTCTTTTTCATTCTGAGTTTATTAAATTATACTTATTGGGACTCTTGAAAATTTCACTGAAACTCTTGGAAAAAAAAAGTTGAGAGTCTCGGACCCTAGTGAGAAGCCTGTTTGCACTTGGAGCACTTGACACTGACTCCATATATTCACAGAGAATTTTTTGTATAAATACTTCATTACAAATTTTTATTTTTTGGTCTACAAAAGACTTTTATGTTTACTGAAAGCTTGTCAAATTTCATGAAGATACATTAAATATTTTCATAGTTATAGTATGTATACCGTCACGGCTTCGTGGTTGTTATGAGGTTGCATATAATACAGGAGCCTGTTGCAGTAAGGTTAATAAGGCTTCTTCACTTTAATACTGTGATAGCGTATTTGGTCAGTTGGATCACAACAACAAAAGTTTTAAATTGAAGTTCTCTTTCAAGTAGTTTTGAGATTATATTACTGATGTGTATATTTCATCACATTTTTCAACTTAAAAATCCTAAATTTTATGTGTAGCACTGTATAAGGTAGAAATAAACTACTGAAAAGTATAACAGTCAGTGTACTTCATAGGTAGTTCTCTGATTGTAACCTCAATGTTACTTTACTCTTGAATAGAACAGTTTTTGATTTAATGAGTTGGAACAACCCATTGTTTTTGGGTTTTAAATATTTTTTCAATGTGAATTCAGTGCTGTAATAGTTAGTGGAATTATTTTCAATATACAGTAAAGAACAAATGCATTAATCTTTTTTGTTTCCTTTTAACTGTGACCATAATATTAATTAAAGAAGATTATTCATTCATTCTTTCCAATCAGTACCTTAAATTTAAAACTAATCTTGATTTAATTTATAATCAATAAGGGCATGAACGAAGGCTAAGTGGAAGTTATAGGTCACGTCCATTTCTTGGGGCAGGAGAAAGGCATCATCCAACTACAATCATAAGTAAGTGTAATATTATTTTAAGCATTTAAAAAGTAAACTGATCTTTGAGAAGTGGTTTAGTAGAGAAAAAAACCCAGCATAACTGTAATGAGTCAAAATGTCTAAACTTTAAAAGAAACATTTTCATCCCTAAATTGGGGCAGGAGAAAGGCATCATCCAACTACAATCATAAGTAAGTGTAATATTATTTTAAGCATTTAAAAAGTAAATTAATCTTTGAAATGTTGTTTAGTAGAGAAAAAAAACAGCATGACTGTTATGAGTCAAAATGTCTAAACTTTAAAAGAAAAGATTTTCATCCCTAAATTATTTTATATGAAATGTGCAGTCTGTTTTTCAAATATGTATTGTCTGTAGTAACTTGTATCAAAAATTTTAATAAATTATAAAATATCCAACTTTTGGTCAGGTGAGTGATCTTTTTATACATTGGATATATTATTGCCCATGTAACTTGGTGGCTATTTTCAGAGGGTTAAAATCACCCATTATGTTTTCCACTATTATTACATTAGCCAAGTAATTGTCTGTGTATATAAGCAAGTTGCTAGGTGAAAACATTTATTTCTTTCTTGTTATAGCTTCAGCACCAGTTATGGCAGAAAAAATTCTCCAACAAAGTAAAGAGGCGGAATCAGCAATGGCTGATGCCTTGGTGAGTGATGGAGTCAACTATGATCCATACATTGTAAGTCAATTTATTTGATTTCATGAATATGCATGCTAACTGTAAATCTTAATGTGTGTTTCTTCCTGCTTTAATTTAAGTATGTCACTGTTGCCTTCTGATGCTTCTTACCCAAATCCTTCTAAATGAGTAACTAGTTAAACAGTTTTGTTTTTGACTTATGTTCCATCCCACAGTGACTCTGCAATTTAGGTATGTCACTGTTGCCTTCTGATGCTTCTTACCCAAATCCTTCTAAATGAGTAACTAGTTAAACAGTTTTTAGCATGAAGGGCTTTTAATGCTAAAAATCAGGTTTCAATACTCATGGAGAGCAGAGCACAAGATAGTCCATTGTCTAGTTTTATGCTTAACAACAAACAAGCATACTAATTTTTCTTATTTTATTTCACAGTGTTAACAATTTCTTTCCAAACAAGAATTAGGATCCCCATAACACTTTAGTTTTCTAGTTATTACAAGTCATAGAAAGTTAAGACGGATAAGTTCCACATAATTGCATTCATATTTATCATTGGTAACTCTTGATTACAAGTATGTTCTGGTAAAAGTCATCCTGTAAATTACCCTTTTCGGGAGACAATAATACAGAGTATACTAATGTACTGATTACAAATCTTCCTTCAAATTACTCTTTAAAGTAGCCTTTTCAGGAGACAGTAATACAGGGTATACTAATGTATTGACTACAAATATGTTCTGGTGACATTCATCCTTCAAAGTAGCCTCTTTAGGAGGCAATAACAGAGTATATAAATTTAATGATTATAAATGCATTCTAGTGGCAATCATCCTTTTAAGAGAAATTAATACAGAGTATTCTAATGTACTTATTACAAATATGTGCTGGTGACAATCACCCTTTAAAGTACCTTTTTTGAGAAGACAATGATACTAATGCATCCTTTATTGTGGTGGAAATAAGTACTGTGTCTTAACTGTAAAACTTTAATATTAAAAACATGACTAAATTAGAAACCTGTTCACAAAGAGTATTGAAAAAAACCCACCTGTAATAGGTGTTTACTAAAGCTTTCTTTAGATTGGGACCAACAAAACTATATGATCCTTGTCTTAATGCCATTTTTGAAACATAACACACATTTGAATTCAGTATAAGTTAAGATTTATTCTGGTTTAATTTCAGCAGCATTGGTCCAATACTGAATTAGGTGGTCAGGACTGACCTAGCAAACCCAACTCTACTTGACCCAGAGAGTCAGTGTTAAAATTAAACATAAAACAAATACTTTAATCAAATGTTTCTTCTATATATACACATATTAATATGCAAGTTTTTTAAATATTTAAAAGTGACCAATCAAAGCCTTTATAGAGAGGAATTCTGAAGACATGCTGGAAGAATAATAATTATAAGTAGTTCATCACACTGTTAAAGTTACATTGAATAAGTTCATCAGTAACTACATGTGTAATTTTCTTTCTGTTTAGCAGTTGATGTAAGAATGTTTAATAGTGTTTACTACAAACTTTTTTGTATCCATGGGTAGTTTGTAGTATGATATCTAATAAGAATCCACACTGCCAATCTCAGACTCTCTACAGCTACTTACATATATATACGATGTACAAGTTGAGCTTCTTGGACATAGCCAGCTGTTTCGTATATCTGAAACACCTGCCTCTCCAGAGCACACTTGCAAACACAAGGTTGCATGTTACAAATGTAGCTAATTTGGATGTGATCATGACTGATACCAGTGACTGCAAAGATAAATGAAAGAGATATGCATTTCTTATGATTTTTTAAGTATTTTTTAACACTGCAATTTCAATTGAGATCAGTTGAAATTTAAACTCAATTACTATTCTGACATCAAAGCCTTTTAGTATCATTTCCATCTGTTTGTTGTACCATTATGGTTGAAAACAAAGAATGTTAGATGATGTCAAAGATACTGTTCTTTTCACATAAGTGTGAGTTTTTAATTGAATTTACACTACTTGTAGGATGTTGTATTGGTATAAGACACCCACATTTCATGACAATAAAACAAGTGATGGTGATTTCAGTTGTAGCTTAAGCCTAATGATAGTTCTGGAGTCTTAGGTGAAATATCAATTATGATTGCAGTTTGCAGTAGGGGAAGGAGCAGGTCAATCACTAGAGGTATTTTTTATGCATAGCAAAGATGCATAAAAGTTATATGAGAATCCCTAATTGACCCATGAACATCCTGAAATAGCAGGAAGTCGTATCACAGAACTGAAATTGGATAAATCATTATTTACTATTTTTTGTTTTGTCTACTGTTGTGTGTGTAATTGTTGTTGTATGTTTAAAAAAACCTCTGGTTAACTTTAATTAACTCTCTTAGCCCACAGAATTCATACTATTGTGAGATTTGGTAGTCCTACGTGCAGAAGAGTTTTATGTATACGAGAGGGAAGGAACAATTAGTGACATAGTGAATAAAAATAAATAAAGCATAACCTTTTATTATTCTTTTTTAATAATAATTAAATAATAATTTAAAAATTATTCTTTTTAACTTTTTACAGTTGACAAATATGGTACCATCCTCTAACCATAAAAATATTGTGTGAATAAAAATTTATTGCAAACGTTCTTTCAGGAGAATTAATTGCTGAGTAAATGTATATGTGTTTTATTTATTTATGTATATTTATAGAAACATACTTTCACACAAACAAGGTGGGAATTAGTGAAATTCTTTGGACAAATTAAAAATAAATAAATAAACTAATGAATATTGACAGAAAAAAAGAAAAATGTGTTTAAATATATGCATGTGTTGCTAAATTCATTTATTTATTTATTTCCACCAAGCATTGACAGTCTCCTACTGTTGAACGAAAGAATATGACAGTATGGTAATGAAAGCATTCATGTTTATTTTAGCAGCCACTCTTATAAAGCAAATGCCAGTGATGACTGTTGACTCTATCAGTGTCTTATTCTTTACTGGTCAGACTCTCCTCTTAAACTCAAATCAACACCTACATATATATATATATATATATACTTCCAATTAGGCATATTGTATGTATGATACATTTTTATTATGACTTGTGTAAGTTTATTGTGTGAAAAGAAATTTATTTTCTGTATATTTTTTCTCTGTACAAGGTGATATATCTCACAAACAGTACATTATGAGAAGGTGAAATTGCACAGGGGAATTTTGGGGTCTCATATGGGTGCAAATGCCATAGTTGTCATATGCTGCCATGTGGAGCTCCACTATGGTTTAATATCTGATCAATCACAGCAACTGTTTAAAGTGTGATCCTCCAGCATCCAGAATGCAACCAATTATATATCATCGTGTTTGTTGGCCTTTTCTCGGACAGTTGTGTCCTTGGGTTCTGGAACTGTGCGAGGCTTCTCACTGTACATACATAATTGCAAGTAGCCCCCACAAACAGAGCATAATGACCATTCACGAGGAAAGTGATGTAAAATGATGTGTTTCACGTGGTTACCAATACGCAGAGAGGCAGCATCCTGCATGAAGACTGTTGACTGAAGAGCCTTAAGAGCAGTTGAAATTGGCAAGTCCAGACTTCTGATGACATAATGTCCACTGCTGCACCCGTGCACTTGTGATGGATTGTTCCTCTATAGCGTGGCTGGCTTTAGCAATAGATTCAGTAGGTGTTTACATTGCTATGCAGCCTGTCTCCTCAAAATTGTAATGAACTTATGCATAGCGGTGCTGGAACAAGGACCTCTGTGGGTGTTATACATTCTACAGTATTCCCTGAGAGCTGCCTATGCATTATATCCTTTGATGTAATAACATTTCATTTGTTCATGTTACCGCATATTTTTCAGTTTCATTGGTTGAGTGAGCTGCACTGCAATCAATAGACCCATCTAGATGTATGGGAAATAAGGTAAAATAATTATCGAAACACAAAGTTGAAGAAAGAACATGTTTATTTTAAATGGTGATGTTTCAAGTAACTGCTTTTTAGCCATGGGAGCATTTTAATGTGATTGTCAATTTCACTATTCATTGGTAAAGAGTAACCCAAGAATTTGCAGTGAGTAGTGTTGATTAGCTGCCTTCCCTCTAGTCTATCACTTCAGAAATAGGGATGGCTAGTGCAGATAATCCTCAAGTAGCTTTGCCTGAAAATTCAACAAACAAACCTTTCCACTACACTTTAAAATGTACTTCACCAATGCCTGCTGGCAGCTGAACATTAGATTTATTACTCTATTCCATCCATTTACTTCATTTATTTTACCATTAATTTTATTCAAACAAGATTCATAAAAAACAGCATATAAAAAGGTAGCGTATACATTCACTTCCAGTCCACATTTTTAATCAGTCTTGTTGGTTGTGGTGAATTTGTAACCAACAGAGCCTCATCATAACCCTACATTACAGTATTCAGACATAATTATTAGGACAACATCTTTGGAAAATCTTTAACATACACCTAAAAGTAATGCACAAATTTCAAACCATAAATTAAAAATGCACTTTCACATTTATTTGTTGCATAAAATAAACATAATTTCATTCTTTCATTCACTAACAGTTGATTGTCAATCCATGGTGGACTAACCAGTAGTGGAAATAGTACCACCCACTAACTTTGATTAACACAGCTCTCTGGAAAATGAGAAATTTAGAAATAATAAATAAATACGTAAATGTAGGAAACAGCAAGTATATTTTGATATATATAAATAATCAATTAATGTAGCAATACATGCATGTGTAAATATATTTTTCTTTATTTTTATCAACATGTATTTATTTATGAATCCTTGGTTAATTAATTTTTTTCTAAATTTGGTATGAAATATCCTCCAATAAAAGGAAAACAAAACTACAAGTCACAGAATAAACCTTTCTTCTTGATTTAGCTATAATCACTGAAACATTCTAATATTGTTGTAAGCTGTTCTTCAAAGTTTTAATTTCAATGTTAGCATGACATTTAGATTGAGGAACTTTGACTAATATTTATACATGAGTACATTAGTTGTAAATATGAATAAGCAGTTAGTTCAGTGATAATGAAGTTAAAGAAATATTCAGGTTTATCAATCCAGAAAACTTTTGTTAAACATTATTAGTGTATTAGGCCTTGTGTCTAAGTGAACTTAGCCTGTAGCAAAAGTTATTAAAGAAATAAACAAATTTGTTATTGTTACTTGGACTTGACTTGGCATTGTTTTTCAAAAAAATTCAAAATGAACCTGCCAAATGATAGGACTCGTTACAACACCTTCAGTGCTTATTACTATTGTCAGTATATGTAAGACATCAGTTAAAATGTAACAGTATTAGGGTTAGTGTCTTTATGCATTATGAAATCACATCTTTAATGCCCTAACAAGTTAATGTAAAGAAAAACAGAGGTGGGATTTCAAATATTTTTCATTATTAAAGCTCAGACTTCTGATGAAACTGTTGTTTTTTTTTCTATGACAGAGGATTTCCTCTAGGAGAAGATTCAGTGCATTTGATGACCAGTCGGATGAAAGTGAAACTTCTAGTGTATGTTCAGACCGATCTTTCAGCTCCTATGGAGGGCGTCACATAGACGTGAGTTACTTACTATTTGAAGCAAATTTTTCTATTGAGAAAGTGATTATTATTGATTCTTTATAAAAGTTACATACTGTTTCAATATAAGCATTTGGTGTTTTATAATATAATGACTAAAACTGCAAAAAAAAAATGATGATACTTTTGAAGTTTTCCAATTCCCAAAATGTAAGATAATATTATTAAAAACAGTCATTGTATAAAAGAATTAAGCTGCATGCTCTGAGTAAAAACATGTGACACTTCTTTGGCAGAAAAAGGGGTTGTGTATGTGAAATCAAATAAAACAGATTGGAGTTAATTGACTGAAATTTATTTTATTTGAAATCTTACTGACTGTCCATTCTTAACAGTGAAACATGCATGATGCCCTCAAGATTTCTATTCATGCAGTGTTTTATTTTATGTAAATCATTTATCTGGTAATTTACCATTTGATATGAAATGAAGGTTATTGTTCATTCAATCAATGCTAATAAATAAACACTTGATAGAGGTGGCTTTATATCTTCGCAATTCATAACATTTTTCTTCATTAGGGTATGAGGTCAATACAAATGGCTAAGGCAGCCTAGTATCAATATTGCATGTTTAAATCCAGAATTTAAATCCAGGTAAGGTATTGAGGTATCCCCAGCCATTCCTCTGGAAAACTGTTTACACATCATATTTAGTGTCTGAAATCATTTGATAACAACAACAATCTGTGGCAGTAATTTAGGTTTCAGATCTTTCAGGCCTCAAAGAAAATTTAAGGCCTGAAAGACAACCCGGGATAGTCAGAAACTTTTCACCCTGTGCAGTGAAAAGGTTTAAGCCAAACAGATGTGGAAGTAGCCACTGTGCTTAATTTTGTTTAATCGCGATGGGTATTTTGTTGTGAGGCACGGAAAGATATGGAAGATACCAGCCCAAAGCCACTGAAGAAGCTTTGAAGAGGCTGTTGAATGATAGCTATGGTAGAAGCACTTGTTTATCCACGTGGTAGTGATGTCATATCATTTGATAGGATCTGTTGCATCTCTTAAGAGTATTCCATACACGCTCAGTGTATTGAAATCTCCTGAGTGTGCAAGTCACTTCATTTGGTAAATCCCCTCTTCAAGAAATACATAAGCAGTTCTTTAAAGCATGGTGTGGGTAGGTATTATCATCCATTAAATTATATGACAGAGCAAACATCTGTGTCAAGAATTTTTTCCAAAGGAATGTTCTTGGCAGAATCATAGATATACTGTTTTGTACCCCCTTGTGGGTGGCATACAGACTGGCTCTGTAAAGTGTACATTGACACTATCCAGTTTCAGTTAATCTTGGAGCAAGTACATTATGATTGTGAGAAGTTATAATCAACAGATATCAGCCAATTGTTTGTGTAAAGGATGATGCTGTTTATTTTATCCAGGATTTGTGGAAATTGTGTTGTTGATTTGGAAATGTTTTCACACTACTAATGATAACTTGAGATTATTGCAACCTATGTGCAACAACAGCTTCCTGTTATAGATCTGCTTCCATTCATCTGGTGGCTACCCATTAGAATAAAACATTCAGCTGTCTTCTTTGATGTTTAGCCAAGTCTGTGGACAACTTAGAGCTTTAAATTCATTGATTGATTGGAAAATGACAACTGCAACAGGATTGATGAGACCATTATATACAGCATAGACTGACTGACCAGTTGTGTGCATATCAGATCACATGACTTATCCACAATATTGTCCATTTGGTGCATCAATGAACTGAGTATGATGATTGACATAATTTTTAACCACAGTTTTTGCTTTGTCATGGTTAAAGCCACAAATTATGGTTATCATTTGATTTATTTGTACAACGCAAAGTAACAGTGGAATGTAGATCTTTCTTATTTTTATTAAACATTCTGTATTAATAACTGTACATAACTTATATAACAGTATTGCATATTTGATTAAAAACAATTTATAAAAGTTCAGTTATAATGTAGCAGTCTATTAAAATATGAAACAACTATCAGTGTTTATAGTTCACACTAAATCTCATATTTAATAAGATGTAATAAGATGCTCTTATCCCAGAAAGTTTCAAACAAAAATAATAATAAATCTTTGCGAACCTTCTAACTTAAATGTTAACTAAGTTGTTAATTTGATTTGAAATCAAATCAAATTGAGAAGTGTTTACTGCCATCCAGTAAACTTTTTACTGCCATCCAGCTTACTTTTATGTTCAAATCACATGAATTATTTGTTTGATAAGTTGATTAAAGACTCCATTTTTAACAGGATGTGCCAGAAATAATCTACAACTTAGGGTCCATCCATTGGTCAGAGAGAAAAGAAGGTCTTATAGGATTATGTGCCCTTCTGCGCTCATCACGTATGCTCAGCCTCGAGGAACTTAAACGTGTCACTGATATCTTCACTAAGATGTTCATGGATCCTCATACTAAGGTATACTTCATAAGGTTCTTCATTATAGTAGTTATAAGGATGATCCTCATACTAAGGTATACTTCATAGGTTCTTCA